CTGTCTGTCTGTCTGTCTGTCTGTCTGTCTGTCTGTCTGTCTGTCTGTCTGTCGGTCTATCTATCTATATAGCTATCTATCTATATATCTATCCCTCGCGCTCCCTTTCTCTATCTCTTTCTACCTGCTCTCTCGTCCACGTGTCGGTCGGGCGGCGTATGTTGGTGTGTTGACGTGCGGGCGGCGGTGAGTTAGTCGTGCGGGCCGTTGTTACGAAGCGCCGTCAGTGTTGATATTACATTACAGCGTAGAGACGCGCTTGTTATTCATGCTATTGCACACATACGCACAGCATACGCGCACACGCCCACGCACGCACGCAGTCATGTACAACTGCCTGCACCACACACACATACACACGCGCGCGCGCGCGCAAAGAGAGAGAGAGAGAGAGAGAGAGAGAGAGAGAGAGAGAGAGAGAGAGGGAGAGAGAGAGAGTGGTAGAGAAAAATGAATTTGTGCGTGTGTGTGCGAGGAAGAGAGAGAGGGGGGAGAGAAAGACTGTGTGTGTGAAAGAGAGATAGAGATATGGGGCGGATGAGTGAGTGAGAGAGAGAGAGAGAGCTTAAGATAACGCGAGAGAAGGGGAAACTAGGAGCGAGAGAGAGAGAGAGAGAGAGAGAGAGAGAGAGAGAGAGAGAGAGCCTGAGAAAAGCGAGTGACAGTAAGCGAGTAGCAAGCAGTCACTATGTAGCGTTGCATGTAATAACGTGTAAAGGTCACCAGCAGGACTGCTGGCTACTATAGTCAGTAAGTGGTGCGTCATAGATCATGTCATCTGTAACCCCTGGGCAGCGGCCTGTCATTGCCGTTAATGCGCTTTCCTATACTTCCCTACAGCGGTCTGTATTGCATAATGCCACACCGCTCACGACAACAACAACGACAACGACAACGGTGACAATAACGACAACGGCAACAACGATAACGACAACAACAACAACAACGACAACACCGACAATAACAACTACGACAACAACGAAAACGACAACAACGGCAATAACGACAACAACGAAAACGACAACAATGGCAATAACGACAACGACAACAACGAAACATCGACAACGACGACAACAACGAAACAACGACAACAACAACAATGAAAACCCCCTACGAAGATCCCAACAACAATAACGACGATGACGACAATGATGATGACGATAACGACAACGATGATGACGATAACAAGAACGATGAGTAAGACGACGACGATGACGATAACAACGGCGATAGTGATGGCGATGACGATGACGTTGACGCGAACGCCGCCGACATCAACGACGACGACGACGACGACGACGACGACAACGACGACGACGACGACGACGACGACGATGACGACTAATAACTCCGCAGATCATGACAAAGGATATTAGGCATCTTAACCTGCTATTTGCTCGCGTGCGGCGGAGGCGCTGTGTTTGTGCACATCATCATCATCATCATCATCATCATCGCCGCTGCTAGTCACACACGGCGGCACGGCGACGCACACCCTAATTAGATCGCGTATCGCTGTTTCGCGCGCGCAACGTCTCACGGAGTATCTCGCGCGAGCAAACATGTCACGATTGACCCGCGCGCGCGGAGCCTGTTTACATACCGACATGATGAGAACACCGCCTGCTTTAGTAGTCATGTAACTCGAACAACGGACGTGTACAGGCCGGTTGAATAGCGATAGGAGATGGACGTCAAATTAGGCATATCACCGGCTGATTGAATTGTCGTCTACGTATAAGCGATAGGTGTGCTCGCGAAAGGCTGGTTAGATAGTAACATCAAAACACAATAAATGCAATAGAGTACAGGCTGGCTGCATTGCCATACATCATAAATAACGGATGTGTTACAAATACATGCTGGTCGAACTCTATATGTATATATGTGTGCGTATATATATATATATATATATATATATATATA